GGAGGCGCCCCATAGTCCACGAGCTCCTGGATGGAGGCGCCCCATAGTCCACGAGCTCCTGGGCCACCCAGGAAGTTACCTGTGTGAGGACTCCTCTGCTTAGCAGGGCGCCGCAGGCAGTGAAGAGCCGCGCGGCCGCGGCGCCCGCCCGCCCCGACGGCCCACGCGAGGCTCCCTCTTCGCCGTGCTGAGCACGCCGTCACTTCACCTTGTGAAACGAGGGCGAACCAAGAGCCTTCCAGAACTGCAGCCACTGCCTTCCCTCTGCAACTGCCCTCTTCTTCCAAACTCCCGCTACCACCRGAAACTCAGCCTAGCTGCCATTGCTAAGGAATATCCGTTGCTGACAAACGTGGAACTTGGCTGAAAGAAAGATGCAAATAAAAAAGCCAGGCTCAGTAGGCTCAATCAATTCATGAGGACTTTCCACTGCTCTTCCCAGCATCTAAACATTTAGGCATTTCAACACTGATGAAGACAAATAAGCTCCAGTGACATAAGTATTTTATTTATTGAGTTATATTAGAGCTCGGCACGGACTTTATAATTCAGTGAACAAGTAAGGTTCAGCCATCAAGTCTCCTCAGATTGAAGGGAATCTGCAAGACAAAAAAGAAATGTAAAGTTGGTCAAACCTCTTACTCTTTAAATAAACACATTAGTATGTATGAATGCAAAACAATGGGGGAAAATGTTTATGCAGTGGTTTAGTCTAGAGGAATTCCCCTTGTTATTTTCTGATGGTCTAAGATTTACACACCCTTCATGTGGCAAACAGAAGTGCAACATGGAACAAATCAAGAGCTGGAACAATACTGCACAGCACTTAAGATTCACTCTCCACGCCGCTCTGATAACTGAATCAAACTTCCTAAGCACTAAGGGCCTGAAAGAGAAGAGAACGCAGCTTTCAGAAAGGAAAGCCAGAGAGGAAACAAGTGGTGCAGGAAGGAAGGAAAGCAAATCCAAAGCGCCTCCCCGCGCAGGGGACGCTCTGCAGACCAGCAGGAGCCACACAAGGGGACAGCCCCGAGCCGGCAGTGCCGCTGCTGGGGGCACAGGCTGGACCCACTCATGTGGGGCAGCATCGGCCCTGCTCATGCGGCGCTACCGAGCGCAGCCAACCCTGTACCCAGCTCCCCGCCACCCCTGCCCAAAGGGGGCTCCTCGCCGCAAACGGACCCCCAGCCCAGCCTTCATCCCCAGCAGCTAAGCTGCTGGGTCGAACGGGAAGGTCTTCCAGCTCTTTGCCCTTTTTATGGTCTCTTTTGAAGCCCAGACACGCTGGCATTGCTTCGCTCTCTCCTGCTGACCGATTCCTGTGCTGCTCTACCCTGGCAGGAAAAAAGAGCTGTCTAGTATGAACACCTGAAAAGAAAGTTCTTACGTATATGAAGTAAGACGCACCAACAGTTCAAAGTGGTATATAAAAATCTGTCCTTTGTATTTGCTTCTGAGCTGCTGTAATTGAGGAATGGAAAAAAACATCTAGGAGAATTGTAATAACATTAAAGGGTGTGCACAATCAGCAACAGGATTTCTGTATCTGCACACAGAAGCACAACCCAACTGAAAGCAGAGCTCTACTTGAACTGAAAATCCTGCTCAAGACTGCAACTGGATTTTACCCTGCCTCCTTCTGGACAAAATGCTCTGATGAAGACCACCTGGCTAAAGAATGCAACTCCAGTGCCTAAGAAAGCTTATAGTTTATAAAGTGCCTATGTATTAGCAGTAGGACACAACTAGAGGCAGAATAACAACATTATAAAAAGATAAGTTGATCGATTCATTATTTCTCTTTGCTGTATTCATAGATGAAGAAAAAAAAAGTCCTTACGAAAAAAATAATTCAGGATTGCCATCTTTTCTGTATCTCCTGGA